ACGATACTTCAAGGACACAGCTATAAACACATGCCATGAAGCACACATGCAACGATACAGTCATCTCAAAGCCCGCTTGTATTTCACAGTGTACCCAAGTTGGGCCCACATTGGCTCAAGCTCAGACTCCATGGGGGGCCTTTTGACAGTTTTTGACAAAGTAATTAGTATCTACCCTGAAGGGGCAAAAAAATGGAGGCAAGCTTTTGGCAGGAACTGTTGCCGAATTGCTGACAAAATCGCTCCCTTTCCAAGCTTCCACAATAATAGTGTAATTACGACTAATTAAATTGAGGTAGGATCCCTGAGCTGCATGAGAGGCTTAAAAAGATCAAAGGAAGGGTGATGTAATCAAAGGCGGGTCCGGAAGGCGGGAGTGGAGGAGCCGACTATAATAGCCTGGGCGTCTCAATGAGTCACAAGTCACAAGGAGAACCGCTCTCCGAGATCCATGGGACACAGAGAGACACCAAACCTAGGTGCACAGCGACACTCGTAATCCAATTGGGCTCCATTTGGAGCCTTTCATCCCCGTTAGCGTGAACAATTTCCCCTGCCTTTGGTGACGAAGTTTACTGTTCGGACGTGAACTCTTGTGTGATGAAGGTGGACACTTTGAAGCGATGTCCTCAACTCGACAAGCTTCGTTCGTGTCATAAACGTCTTGGGATTCACCTCCAAGTGATCATCTCTTCATGTGGAAAATTTAAAACATTAAAACTAAATTAGGATCAAACTAATCTATTTTCCACGAACTGAATTCATGTGAATAAGCGAGCACACGGAAAAAATACATTCATATTTTATCAGTATTACTCACACCCTAGGTTTTCTTATTTTAATACTCAGTTCAATGAAAAATATTTTTTTAACACCATACTCCTGAATATTCCATGTATAGGGTGGCATGTAAATAATGAAATCTGAACCAGATAATCCAATGATTGATATTGTGGGCAAAGGGTATGAAGACAGAGAGCGAGTCAGTATGGTTTTACGCCACTTTTAGCAGAATTCCAACAATATCACGGCAGGGGACACCAAAAATGAGCTTCACACATTGAACCCATGTAGGGAATCGAACCCAGGTCTTCAGCATGATGAGTGGACGCTTTAACCATTAGGCTACCCCACCGCCCTGGGGATGAAGACAGGCAATAAACAAAGTCAGCAAGTCTGACCACCCAATACACTTGGTTGCCCCTGGTGACGTATTGCAGCTTGGGAGAACTTATAACCATGAATGGGGGTCATGAACAAGCGTATCTGCACTCCAAAAATAACCATTATAGAATAATGTGTTTCTCAAGACGTTAGTTGCTGTTAGGTATACTGATTGAAATACCAACCAAAACATTATGTATGGCATAGTTGCACCCATCCCTGTTTTTCCCCTTAAACAGCGGTCCATTACAACAAAGTACCAACTGTGCTTATCTCTTTAAATTCCTTCTAAACAATCCACATCAAATAGCCCATAAAGACGAGATAGCACATCAGCCAGTCAATATGCCAAAACAGCATAATGTCGGCACTCAAGTGGAAGGGCAGAAAATGGCCAGTGTGACAATTGTACCCAGAGGTGGACAAAGCCATCTGGGTTGCATCCAGGACATCTGAGGACAAGAGGACGATGCTGCGGGACAGGAGGACGACACATTGGCTGACACATCACGGTCAGCTGGCCAGATTGCAGCTAGCCCTTGGACACACTTCAGGAAAATTAATGTTAGCTTTTGTCCAGATCAAAGACAATTTCTGTCTGGTTCTTTGCACCCATTGTGAGAGGACAATGTGGAAGTCGACCCGACTCGACCCGTTACAGCAGCGAACGTGTTTTACGATTGCCCTCCACCTTTCGATCTCTCATGCCTCGTCCCAATGATTTACTGCTCATGGTAATTGGTAGTTTTTCTTTCTAGTTGTTTGGATTATAAGCCATGACTGGTGGCCGTTCCATGTGCTGTAGATTTGCCATTGTTCCTGTCCGTTTCAAGCCTGAATTATAGCATTTGTTCCTGGTACAATATGGCAATTACAACGTCTTTGTATTTAAGGCCACTTTCCTCAATGCCTTATTCTGATGCATGGAGAGGGAACCCACATAAATCCGACTTGTATCTCCAAGATCCGCTCCAGGAACTGCCAACATGCCTTGCTAATTACATCTTGCCTTCTTATATACTACTCACAAAAAGTTAAGGACAACCCACTTTATTCATGACACTATAGATAAGCTATTATACCTTGCCACAAACTCTATGCCACATAAACACTAGTTATATCTAAGAAAAGTGATTTTCTTAACTCATTTTGAGTAGTGTATTTTTCTTTTAGTGTGGACTTTTCTAAATCTAATGTCATAAGCTATCTGATAATAAATGTCTGTATTTTACTGTAAAATGTCTAAACATCATAATATTGTGTATAAATCTGTATCATCATTTCTAAGATTTCTTTCTGTCCACAACAAGCTTTATGTATGACCTGATGATATTGATAAATCTTAGAAATACTGAAACCACAAAATTAATTTCAAGCCACAAATCTGAAATAATTCCAAATCATTCTAGGGCAATACTTGGCCCGACCATAGCCATCAGTTATTAGTAGTCATACAATTAGTCATTTTTTTTCTTTTTGTTCCCAGAGATAATAGCATTGAAAGAAGCTCATCTAGTTTATCACCAGTCTTGGCCTTGAAACACACAATGGTATTAACTCACAATGGAACGAGGCTATAATAGCCTCCGAACCAAAAAGCAAAGTAGGTCTTAGTGGGAGGTACAAATAGCAGATGCTAATGAGGCAAACTCGTGCGAGAGTAACAGATTTAAACTGGAAACAAGACACAGACGTATTTACTCTCTTGACAAAACCTGGCACTCAAAAACTACAGTAGCAGAGGTGGCACATCAAAGGAAAGTCAGAGGGGGATTGAGAAAAGGAGGGGGACTGAACGAACCGAGGGGGACCGGGGCCTTGCATCTGTTTTTGACAGGAATCCATTAGGCTTGGGATTAACTCACTAATTCGCACACACAATCACAAGATGGAATGGTGTTTGCAAATCTTTTTACAGACAATAGATTGTTTTTGAAAATTTAATTAACACATAAAACAAATGAGATGGCCGGTAAAACCATACAAAGTCGCGAAGATGTTGTCTGCACACGGACTGAGGCTAAAATTCAGAGAGTGCTACGAACCTTCGCTAAATGCATCAATTTCAATCATGACAGTCAAAACTGAATTTGAACTCTGATTCAAGCAACTGATGAACGTTTGTGGGAAAGTGAGCGAAAATCTTACGTCAATTATGTTGAATTTATTTTCCAGACTTTAATGGGAGGCAGGGCGATTTTTCTTTTTCTGAACCTCATCCATGTAAAGAGCAATGATTTAGTTTCATTTAACTTTCAGACTTAAAAGGAAAATATTCAAAGAACCCTTTTTTCTTGTATTGAGAGGACTCAAAGGTCGTAAATCCTGTCAACTGTTACGAGCCGGAATATTACTGGATATATTAAGAACAGGATTCTTCAGAGCCTGGATACATAGTGTTTAAATAATTGATTGATACAACTTCAGGGGAGCATCACAATCCCTTTCTGGAGCAGTTCATCATTCAGGATTCTAACCTTCCGTTGTCTGTCATTTACGGGATTTATCTAAGATTCAAAACTAACTACACTTGGCAGGCAAACTTAGGAAAAATTTGGAATACTGCAAAAAAAATAAAATTACTGTTTCTATTTTCATATATTCTAAGGAAATTATATATTCAAATCAGGAAATTTTATTATATGCTGCAGTCAGTTAGCTGTTTATTAGCCCGAGCAGGTTTGAAAAACATGATCTGGGCAGACTGGATTCAAACCCACAATCTCAGCACAAGGGCTATCGTCCTACATAGTTATTTCTGGTTCCTATGACTGGGCAGTATTGGCAAGAACGTGTTTGTTTGGCAATTCATCATGATAATAATACTGATAATTATGAAAGGCGATACACACAGTACTAAGTGAAATGTTAGTGATTTAGCTTGATCTGACACAGATCTGAACATCATGTCATTCATACCACGCAGCTTCATCTGGGACGCAAACACAAGGGATGCTGATTAAAGTTGTTGATCACACTGATTGAGAGCGATTTAGGTTTACACACTCAGCAATATTCCAGCTGTAAGGTGGCAGTTTGTAAATAATCGAGCCCGGACCAGACAATCTAGTGATCAACAGCATGAGCATCAATCTACGTAATTGGGATACTATAACACGTGTCAACCAAGTCTGCGAGCCTGACCACCCGATCCCGTTAGTAGCCTCTTACGAGAAGCATGGGTTACTGAAGATCAATTCTAACCCTGATCTTCAAAGCCTTGTAGGGTATGGTGCATCACAATGTAGATCATTCCAACCCACAAAACAAGTTGTAGATACACAATCCCCCTTACCCAGGAGGCTACATTCACACAACATTGTTAATGGTGTTTTTCTTTCTTTTTCTTATTTAAAAAATTAATAATCAAAATTGTAATTTTCAAATGTCTATTGTGATATTTGAAATACAGGTGCACTTGCTGACATTGCAAGTCCGAGATTTAATGTTATTGGTTGCAACACCCCATGTGCTGCCAATACACAGTCAATCTCAACTCCCTGGGGAGAGTCTTGTGCTGACAGTTATTTGTCACAACACTCCATAAGGTGCTGGTCTTGTCCATGTGAGAATTCCTCTTTCTCCAACACAACATCAATCTCAGCTCCTTGGGGAGAGTCCAGTGCTGTCACTGTTATTCTATACACCCATGTGGCATGAGTGACCAGTCCCCTTCAACCAATACAGTCATTTTCAACTCCTTGAGGAGAGTCCAATGTTCAGTACACACACACAGTTTACAAACCTACCTGGTACCAACATACTGAGCAGAAACACAATGACAACAAGTAACCATGACAACAGTTCCTGAAAGACAAACAGCAATATATTCCTACCTTAATAATTCTGTCATAGGTCTTCAAGCCATTATTATCTGCAGGTCCATTTTCTGTGACTCGAGAAACAACGATTCCGTCCGACACTGTCTGGTTGTTGTTGTTCTCAGGCTGTGGAGAAAATACTGACATGAAACGACCAGAATAGAAACCTTTAAAGTTCGTGTCATAAGACATAATTTTCGATGAAAGATTAAAAACTTCAAAAGCACTTTCTCAAATTGTCTAAAATTGATCAAAATACTTTCTCAACATCCTATCAAACAACCTTGACACAATGATATGTTTTTATAACCGTCAACACGCTCATCTCATTCCTTGATGAAACGTTTCCTTTGTTCTTTTTGAAAATTCTATATCAATAACTCCAACAGCAAAATGGTCCTTGAAGTTCCATGGATCCAATAACTTTATCAAATTCCTAAGATCAAGTAACCTGCCATTCTCAGATCTCCCAAGTCCGACTCTAGTCGTGTATGTCTTCTGTGTTACAAGCCTTCCAACACATGCTTCAAACGTTAACCAACATGTTGCGATACAGTGAATCACGCAGCCACCAACAAAGTGCCTTCTTCTACAGCATCCTCATCCACAGGACATACTATTAAAATCCAATAAAACATGATGGAATTTCACCAATACAAGAAAATGTAAATGGGCAGTGGCACCAAGCGTGAAATACGTGGAAAGGGGGCAATTTTGCGACAATTTCTTCTGAAAGGGGAAGCAAGGGGTTACATTGTATGAGTGAGGGTCTTGAAGATGGCGCATGAGTCATTCTCGATTAGATTGCTTGTAGTGGACACGTCGCCTAATCAAATATCGCCCCTCCAATACTGACACGAGGAACGTTACCTAGTCAGTTGACAAAATGAAACTATTTTCCAAATCATTTCTTTCATTGATGTCCGTAATTATATTTTTTTTATGCTTTTTGTTGAGTTTGTTACATATTCAATTTGAAACCTTATTAATGGTTGCAACGATTCCTTTGGGATGTTTTGTTGCGTATACTATCACAATGGTGCTCAATATTTCTGAATGTTTCAATACATCCAAATCACATCTATAACGAATACATCAACACTTGGGTCCTATGTAATTACCGGACTACTTTTTTCTGAGTCACTATATGTGCTTTAAGTAGAGCATCTTGTAATTGCTTATAACAGCCAGCACTTATGGAAATTATCAATAAATGGATTAATAATCCACAAGTTGAACAAGTGTCAATTTTTTTTCTCATGTATTACAGTATTTGGGCTTTGGAATCTGGATGAGTGAAAATTTCTGATGGATTACGAGTACGCTCATGACGTGCCTAAATGCTGCCTCTCTGAACGGGGTTCATTTAGTAAGAGCTTGCACTATCATTATGGGTGCTCTGCGTTTAGCAGAATCAAATAGCCTGTGTCGAAAATAAGTGACCTGTTCAAAGTGAGGCCACAATTCGGAAGGTTTCAAACTAAAAATCCATTTTCCACATCACTCAATTTTATTAATTGAAACGGCAAAAATCAATTATGATGCTGAAGAAATGGATTCAAGAGTCATTGTAGGCAACTAGGCCATTGGTATATTAGACATTTTTCAAGATGCAGAATCGTATCTTCTGGAGAGAAAGAACAATTTAAATGTCTATACTTTCTGTTGGTGTTTTACGATTGATTTGACAATAAGTAATAGCGATTAATGTTCGAGAAACTAAAAGATTATGGATGATTACAAAGCTTTTAAACCTGTGAGAATTGGTCTGATACTGTCGGGTTAAAGATCAGTCAGAACTGGGATTCAAACTCACACTAAGAAAATACTGACAGCTAAGGGAAGCAACTCTGTAGCAATATCACCTAGTAGACTTTGATAACAAACAAACAGTATTTGCATGATGTATAAATTGATGTTCAATTTGTGAATCATCATCTTTTGGCATATTCCAAATACCAAAGTCATTCTAATTATTTCTAGTGTTCATATAACTGTTTGATAATTATTCTGACTCACATAATCTTCTTGAACATAAAAAGATGAACCGATTGAAATCTGATTGAAGACTTTCTTTAAAGCATAATTAAAAAGAATTTCAGCATCATAAACTCTTTTTGCATCATTTAATACATTTGACAAAAATAGGGAAAACACGGGTTTTAAAATTATTTCACAAAAACGTTTTTGCAGACAGAATCCATTACAAAAGATTTGCTGTATCATATGCGTATTAAAATTCCACTTTGATGTAAAAAGAACCCCAAAGAATAAAAAAAACTATCAAATGCTATGTAATTCAAAGAATATGATGGCAAAGTTGAGCCATATCCGATAAATTGACATTGATTTATCTTTGAAATATAGCAGTTGTAGGAAGATACTGCCGCTGCTTGAAGGTACGTTGAGATGATCGAGGCAATAAGCAGCTATTGTCAATTTCACAGGCCCTTGATATTTCTCCCACTGATAGATCAGTTTTTGTCAATCACAAGAATAATTTCCTTGATCAAAAGCTTTTGTCAATATCCTTCAGCCATTGTCAACCAGATGACATGGAATCAACAATTAAAGTTAATAGTTTTTCAGGCTGCAAGATAAACACATTTTAACAGGCATTGTCTCGAAAGGATCGAGTTAATATGCTGTTAGTTTTCGATGCGAAACATTTGAAATCCTCAGAGAAACATTACACGTCATCTGTTAAATGTTATGTTTACATGGCTTATCATTTTAAAACATGTCAAGAAGGCTGATGGGAATTACAAAAGTCGCACATGATAATTGAACTCCTAAAATGTGCTAATGCAATGTAGCTCACTTTGTGTCCAGACATTAAACCGTCATGTTTCTGACCAAGCGATTCCCCTTTGATTAATAAAATCAATTTTGGAAATACATAGTCGTTATCTGCAAATTTTCCTAATCAAATTTATATTTGATGCCAACAAGTGTACTTACTGACTTCACAATTAAGCTGAGTTCCAGCTAAGCTGTGAAATAAGTGGGCAAAGCCAGGAAGAACTCTGCTAATGACCATAGCAAGTATCAAAGCTACACTTCCATAGCCAACCTCTACCGCAACCTTTCCATATTCTGACAATTAATTCGCCTGTGACTTGGGTGTAATGGACCAACTGGTCCCTATGGTAGCCAATGTTGCATTTTATGGACGTCTCTTTGTGCCAAATTATTGCTTCACCAAACAAACATTCTGCCAGGCTATTTGGAAATCGCATGGGGTTCTAACAACTGTGAGGGGGAGTTGTTAGACTGGGAAGTTGGTGGGTAGGTCTTGAGAGGGTAGTGGGGTGTAGGAGTGAGTGAGTGTAGGTTTACGCCGCTTTTACCAATGTTCCATCAATACGACAGCAAGGGTCACTAGACATGGGCTTCACACATAATATCCATGAGAGGAACCAAACCTTGGGCTTCTGCATGACAAGTGAACGCTTTATCTGCTAAGCTACCCCACAACCTCGGTGTTATGAGGAAGGATGGAGTTGCTGCACACCATGTGGTGAGGAACAACCTTATCCAACTGGTTGTTATCTATAATTAATGACAGAGAACCTTGCAGGAACCAAAGGCACTGTAGGTTACAACTGGGAAGTGGAGGCAGGTTTCAATGAATAAAGGCAGTTCCAAACCATATACATAAGTCTTGGTCTGAGGTCAGGTCTGGACCAGACAAACCAGTGGTCAATAGTGTGAGCAACTCATCAACAGGATGCAGTGAGATACAATCAGCCAGTCAGTATCTAGTCATCTGTCTCCGGAAGGAGGAGTGAGTGAGTGAGTGAGTGAGTGAGTGAGTGAGTGAGTGAGGTTTTACACCACTTCCAACCAATATTAAAGCAATTTCCAATTGGAAACATCTAAGTTTGTGTCATCATCATCATCATCATCATCATCATCATCATCTTCACAATGCCATCACACCACCCACTATACACACACACACCCCACCCATCATCATCATCATCATCATCATCATCATCATCTTCACAATGCCATCACACCACCCACTATACACACACACCCCACCCATCATCATCATCATCATCATCATCATCATCTTCACAATGCCATCACACCACCCACTACACACACACCCCACCCATCATCATCATCATCATCATCATCATCTTAACAATGCCATCACACCACCCACTACACACACACCCCACCCATCATCATCATGACATGTGTGTCAGACACTGCACCCAAGTGGGGAATCAAACATGACAATTTAGTGTAAAAGGCCAACACAGTATCCACAAGACTTACCCACCAACCAAGAACACCCAGTACAATGGTACAAGAAGATCAATGTGTCAGTCCCCCATGGCTAACTGCTCACACAACCGTAATGTATTATACAATTTAACTGTTTGTATAAACTGATCATCCAGTAAGATGAACCACTTGTACGCCGAACTGGTTCAGAACCACCCAAAACTCAGGACAAAACAGTTTGAAGTATAGATTTTTCTCTTCAGTATCTTAATGAGAGCCAAATAGTAACGTACTCTTAAACCTTCCCCAATGTAAATCAATATTTAATGAGAAAAGTACATGTTTATTCTACAAATCAATGTTTAAAACCTCCTTAATTCTTAACCAAGTGCTGTAGATTTGTCAACAACAGCCTTTTAATGCTTGCCACTATAATTATTATTAATCGGAAATAATGTCGTTAGCTTATTCCTTGAATACAGAACACACGGCCCATTATAGTCAACACAAAACGCTCACATGTGATTTATTGTTCCAAATATTGTACATGTTCTGATAACATACATTAAATATGTAACGATTTCATTTTTGATAATAACAAGAAATATTAGATTGTGAGAATATGTAAATAATGAAAAAATAATAATAGCTCCATTTATTCAGTTTTTCGAATAGAGACCAATAACCAATGTATTTAGATGCATGTCATAGCGTGTATTTGTATGCATGCGATAGCGTGTATTTGTATGCATGTCATAAACGACTCTACCATTCTCGCAGCATGCAGCCTTTTTAAAAACAACAGTCTGCCAGATTCATGACACATTGGAAGGGTTAAAAATATCAGGTAAAACATTACATGCCGTTTTATTGCCACATCAGGAAAG